CCCGTCCCTACAACTAGTGGATCCCGTCCCCTACACTAGTGGATCCCGTCCCTACAACTAGTGGATCCCGTCCTCTCAACTAGTGGATCCCGTCCCCTACAACTAGTGGATCCCGTCCCTACAACTAGTGGATCCCGTCCCCTACAACTAGTGGATCCCGTCCTCTTACAACTAGTGGATCCTGTCCCCTACAAACTAGTGGATCCCGTCTCTACAACTAGTGGATCCCGTCCTCTACAACTAGTGGATCCCGTCCTCTACAACTAGTGGATCCCGTCCCCTACAACTAGTGGATCCCGTCCCCTACAACTAGTGGATCCCGTCCCCTACAACTAGTGGATCCCGTCCCTACAACTAGTGGATCCCGTCCTCTACAACTAGTGGATCCCGTCCCCTACAACTAGTGGATCCCGTCCCCTACAACTAGTGGATCCCGTCTCCTACAACTAGTGGATCCCGTCCCCTACAACTAGTGGATCCCGTCCCCTACAACTAGTGGATCCCCTCCTCTACAACTAGTGGATCCGTCCCTTACAACTAGTGGATCCCGTCCCTACAACTAGTGGATCCCGTCCCCTACAATAGTGGATCCCGTCCCCTACAACTAGTGGATCCCGTCCTCTACAACTAGTGGATCCCGTCCCCTACTAGTGGATCCCGTCCTCTACAACTAGTGGATCCCGTCCTCTACAACTAGTGGATCCCGTCCCCTACAACTAGTGGATCCCGTCCTCTACAACTAGTGGATCCCGTCCCCTACAACTAGTGGATCCCGTCCTCTACAACTAGTGGATCCCGTCCTCTACAACTAGTGGATCCCGTCCCCTACAACTAGTGGATCCCGTCCTCTACAACTAGTGGATCCCGTCCTCTACAACTAGTGGATCTCGTCCCCTACAACTAGTGGATCCCGTCCCCTACAACTAGTGGATCCCGTCCCCTACAACTAGTGGATCCCGTCCTCTACAACTAGTGGATCCCGTCCTCTACAACTAGTGGATCCCGTCCCCCACAACCCGTGGATCCCGTCCCCTACAACTAGTGGATCCCGTCACCTACAACTAGTGGATCCCGTCCCCTACAACTAGTGGATCCCGTCCTCTACAACTAGTGGATCCCGTCCTCTACAACTAGTGGATCCCGTCCCCTACACTAGTGGATCCCGTCCCCTACAACTAGTGGATCCCGTCCCCTACAACTGGTGGATCCCGTCCCCTACAACTAGTGGATCCCGTCCTCTACAACTAGTGGATCCCGTCCCCTACAACTAGTGGATCCCGTCCCCTACAACTAGTGGATCCCGTCCCCTACATCTAGTGGATCCCGTCCTCTACAACTAGTGGATCCTGTCCCCTACAACTAGTGGATCCCGTCTCCTACAACTGTGGATCCCGTCCTCTACAACTAGTGGATCCGTCCTCTACAACTAGTGGATCCCGTCCCCTACAACTAGTGGATCCCGTCCCCTACAACTAGTGGATCCCGTCCCTACAACTAGTGGATCCCCGTCCTATACAACTAGTGGATCCCGTCCCCTACAACTAGTGGATCCCGTCCCCTACAACTAGTGAATCCCGTCCCCTACAACTAGTGGATCCCGTCCCCTACAACTAGTGGATCCCGTCCCTACAACTAGTGGATCCGTCCTCTACAACTAGTGGATCCCGTCCCTACAACTAGTGGATCCCGTCCCTACAACTAGTGGATCCGTCCTCTACAACTAGTTTATCCCGTCCCCTACAACTAGTGGATCCCGTCCCCTACAACTAGTGGATCCCGTCCTCTACAACTAGTGGATCCCGTCCCCTACAACTAGTGGATCCCGTCCCCTACAACTAGTGGATCCCGTCCCCTACAACTAGTGGATCCCGTCCCCTACAACTAGTGGATCCCGTCACCTACAACTAGTGGATCCCGTCCCCTACAACTAGTGGATCCCGTCCCTACAACTAGTGGATCCCGTCCTCTACAACTAGTGGATCCCGTTCCACTACAACTAGTGGATCCCGTCCCCTACAACTAGTGGATCCCGTCCCCTACAACTAGTGGATCCCGTCCCCTACAACTAGTGGATCCCGTCCCCTACATCTAGTGGATCCCGTCCCCTACAACTAGTGGATCCTGTCCCCTACAACTAGTGGATCCCGTCTCCTACAACTAGTGGATCCCGTCCTCTACAACTAGTGGATCCCGTCCTCTACAACTAGTGGATCCCGTCCCCTACAACTAGTGGATCCCGTCCCTACAATAGTGGATCCCGTCCCCTACAACTAGTGGATCCCGTCCTATACAACTAGTGGATCCCGTCCCCTACAACTAGTGGATCCCGTCCCCTACAACTAGTGAATCCCGTCCCCTACAACTAGTGGATCCCGTCCCCTACAACTAGTGGATCCCGTCCCCTACAACTAGTGGATCCCGTCCTCTACAACTAGTGGATCCCGTCCCCTACAACTAGTGGATCCCGTCCCCTACAACTAGTGGATCCCGTCCTCTACAACTAGTTTATCCCGTCCCCTACAACTAGTGGATCCCGTCCCCTACAACTAGTGGATCCCGTCCTCTACAACTAGTGGATCCCGTCCCCTACAACTAGTGGATCCGTCCCTACAACTAGTGGATCCCGTCCCCTACAACTAGTGGATCCCGTCCCCTACAACTAGTGGATCCCGTCCCCTACAACTAGTGGATCCCGTCCCCTACAACTAGTGGATCCCGTCCACTACAACTAGTGGATCCCGTCCACTACAACTAGTGGATCCCGTCCCCTACAACTAGTGGATCCCGTCCCCTACAACTAGTGGATCCCGTCCCCTACAACTAGTGGATCCCGTCCCCTACAACTAGTGGATCCCGTCCCCTACAACTAGTGGATCCCGTCCCCTACTAGTGGATCCCGTCCCCTACAACTAGTGGATCCCGTCCCCTACAACTAGTGGATCCCGTCCCCTACAACTAGTGGATCCCGTCCCCTACAACTAGTGGATCCCGTCCCCTACAACTAGTGGATCCCGTCCACTACAACTAGTGGATCCCGTCCACTACAACTAGTGGATCCCGTCCACTACAACTAGTGGATCCCGTCCCCTACAACTAGTGGATCCCGTCCCCTACAACTAGTGGATCCCGTCCCCTACAACTAGTGGATCCCGTCCCCTACAACTAGTGGATCCCGTCCCCTTCAACTAGTGGATCCCGTCCCCTACAACTAGTGGATCCCGTCCCCTACAACTAGTGGATCCCGTCCCCTACAACTAGTGGATCCCGTCCCCTACAACTAGTGGATCCCGTCCCCTTGATATTTTATAACATTTTTCAATAACAAAATACATTAATATGTTTTTCTTCTGAACTTTTTTCAGCTGAACTTTTCCATAATTTCTGTTATCATTACCCTATGTTATCTATTGACTTATTGTTAAGATTCATGATATCGAAGCCTAAATCAATATTTCCAGTAGTCGATTCACATTTATCAGGGGTGGAAGAATGATTCGGTTTTTTTTTTCAGTATTTCGTTTTTCTTTGTTTTACCTACCATCCCCCCTCTTGATCCTCAGCTTCGTTCCGTTTTTGCCCGCCACGCCCAGGTTCCTTTTTTGACCCGAGGATTCAAAAAGGAAAGATTCCACGAATCCTCTTGTTTTGCCCGTCAAATCGCCGTACTCACCCTGGCCTCCCCATCCCCTTTACTGCGGAAAAGTTACTCACAGGACATCGTTGGTTAAGGTTTCACAAGAAGTCCCCGTCTTCACACAGGAAGCCACCAAGTACTTTCTTCACACTAGCAACCACACAGAGTACGTTTCACACAGGAAAGCGCGCTTTAATAAAGGGTTTTGTGGAAAGTGGAACAAATTTCCGATAACGTCACTGAAGCCAAAACCTGTGTAATTTAAAAAAACTTTTGTACAGTACTGAGGGGGTGCGATTGGACCTAACTGGCTTAGGCCATGGGTCTTTTATGCTGCTTCTCCCCAAGTGGGTGTACTTGGACCCGATGGTTTTGGGCCGAGAGGAACCTACTGCACTCTTATGTTCAGACATCGTAGAGTGTTCTCATACAACGTAAAGTGTACTCACAAGACGTAAAGTGCTCTCACACAACGTAAAGTGTTCTCAGACAACGTAAAGTGTTCTCACCAATTGTTCTCAGAACAACGTGAAGTGGTCTCACACAATGTAAAGTGTTCTTAGACAACGTAAACTGTTTTCAAACAACGTAAAGTGTACTCACACAACGTAAAGTGTTCTCACGCAACGTAAAGTGTTCTCACACAACGTGAAATGTTCTCACACAACGTAAAGTGTTCTCAGGCAACATAGCGTGTTCTGGGCTCGTGACTTGGGTGTTATTAAATTACAATTCGATTTGTTGCCTGCACGTAAAGTGGCAGGAACAAATGAACAACAATACTAAGTGGCTGCTTGGGCGTGACCACTTTAAGACTGCCTGCACGTGACCACTTAAATGCTTCCTGCACGTGACCCTTTCAATGCTTACTGCACGTCACCACTTTAAGACTGCCCACACGTGATCTCCTCAAGACTGAATGTACCAATAGCACACCTCCCCTAAAAGTACACCCAGCACTACCAGTACACCCAGCACTACCAGTACACCCAGCACTACCAGTACACCCAGCACCAGTACACCCAGCACCAGTACGCCCAGCACTACCAGTACACCCAGCACTACCAGTACACCCAGCACCAGTACCCCCAGCACTACCAGTACACCCAACACCAGTACACTCAGCACTACCAGTACAACCCAGCACTACCAGTACGCCCAGCACAGTACAACCCAGCACACCGTAACACCCAGCACTACCAGTACAAAAATCCAGACACCAGTCAAACCCAGCAACCACCAGTACACCCAGCACTACCAGTACACCCAGCACCAGTACACCCAGCACTACCAGTACACCCAGCACTACCAGTACACCCAGCACTACCAGTACACCCAGCACCACCAGTACACCCAGCACTACCAGTACACCCAGCACTACCAGTACACCCAGCACCAGTACACCCAGCATTACCAGTACACCCAGCACCAGTACACCCAGCACTACCAGTATACCCAGCACCAGTACACCCAGCACTACCAGTACACCCAGCACTACCAATACACCCAGCACTACCAGTACGCCCAGCACTACCAGTACACCCAGCACTTCCAGTGCACCAAGCACTACCAGTACGCCCAGCACTACCAGTATGCCCAGCACTACCAGTACACCCAACACTACCAGTACACCCAGCACTACCAGTACGCCCAGCACTACCAGTACACCCAGCACTACCAGTACACGCAGCACTACCAGTACACCCAGCACTACCAGTACACCCAGCACCATACACCCAGCCTACCAGTACACCCAGTACCAGTACACCCAGCACTACCAGTACACCCAGCACTACCAGTACTACCCAGCACTACCAGTACAAACCCAGCACCAGTACACCCAGCACCAGTACACCCAACACTGCCTAGTACACCCAGCACCAAGACACCCAGCACTACCAGTACACCCAGCACCAGTACACCTTGCACTTACCAGTACACCCAGCACTACCAGTACACTCGCACTATACCATAACACCCAGCCTACCAGTACACCCAGCACTACCAGTACACCCAGCACCAGTACACCCAGCACCAGTACACCCAGCACTACCAGTACACCCAGCACTACCAGTACACCCAGCACCAGTACACCCAGCACTACCAGTACACCCAACACCAGTACACTCAGCACTACCAGTACACCCAGCACTACCAGTACGCCCAGCACCAGTACACCCAGCACTACCAGTACACCCAGCACTACCAGTACACCCAGCACCAGTACACCCAGCACTACCAGTACACACCCAGCACCAGTACACCCAGCACTACCAGTACACCCAGCACACCAGTACACCCAGCACTACCAGTACACCCAGCACTACCAGTACACCCAGCACTACCAGTACACCCAGCACCAGTACACCCAGCACTACCAGTACACCCAGCACCAGTACACCCAGCACTACCAGTACACCCAGCACTACCATACACCCAGCACTACCAGTACGCCCAGCACTACCAGTACACCCAGCTCTTCCAGTGCACCAAGCACTACCAGTACGCCCAGCACAACCAGTATGCCCAGCACTACCAGTACACCCAACACTACCAGTACACCCAGCACTACAAGTACACCCAGCACTACCAGTACACGCAGCACTACCAGTACACCCAGCACTACCAGTACACCCAGCACTACCAGTACACCCAGCACCAGTACACCCAGCACCAGTACACACAACACTTCCAGTACACCCAGCACCAGTACACCCAGCACTACCAGTACACCCAGCACCAGTACACCTTGCACTACCAGTACACCCAGCACTACCAGTACACCCAGCACTACCAGTACACCCAGCACTACCAGTACACCAGCAACCAGTACACCCAGCACTAGTACACCCAGCACTACAGTATACCCAGCACCAGTACACCCAGCACTACCAGTACACCCAGCACTACCAATACACCCAGCACTACCAGTACGCCAGCACTACCAGTACACCCAGCTCTTCCAGTGCACAAGCACTACCAGTACGCCCAGCACTACCAGTATGCCCAGCACTACCAGTACACCCAACACTACCAGTACACCCAGCACTACCAGTACGCCCAGCACTACAAGTACACCCAGCACTACCAGTACACGCACACTACCAGTACACCAGGCACTACCAGTACACCCAGCACCAGTACACCCAGCACTACCAGTACACCCAGCACTACCAGTACACCCAGCACTACCAGTACGCCCAGCACTACCAGTACACCCAGTACTACCAGCACACCCAGCACTACCAGTACACCCAGCACTACCAGTACACCCAGCACTACCAGTACACCCAGCACCAGTACACCAACACTACCAGTACACCCAGCACCAGTACACCCAGCACTATCAGTACACCCAGCACTACCAGTACACCCAGCACCAGTACACCCAGCAGTACCAGTACACCCAGAACTACCAGTACACCCAGCACCACCAGTACACCCAGCACTACCAGTACAACCCAGCACTATCAGTTACCCAGCCAGTAACACCCAGCACTATCAGTACACCCAGCACTACCAGTACACCCAGCACCAGTAACCCAGCAGTACCAGTACACCCAGAACTACCAGTACACCCAGCACCACCTAACACCAGCACTACCAGTACACCCAGCACTATCAGTCACACCCAGCACCAGTACCACCCAGCACTACCAGTACACCCAGCACTACCGTACACCCAGCACCAGTACATCCCAGCACCAGTACACCCAGCACTACCAGTACACCCATCACTACCAATACACCCAGCACTACCAGTACACCCAGCACTACCAGTACGCACCAGCACTACAGTACACCCAGCACTACAGTACACCCAGCACTACCAGTACACCCAGCACTAAACAGTACACCCAACACTACAGTACACCCAGCACTAACCAGTACGCCCAGCACTACCAGTTATGCCCAGCACTACCAGTACAACCCAGCACTACCAGTACACCCAGCACTACCAGTACAACCTAGCACTACCAGTTACGCCAGCACACCAGTACACCCAGCACTACCAGTACACCCAGCACTACCATACGCCAGCACTATACCAGTACACCCAGCACTACCAGTACACCCAGCACTACCAGCACACCCAAACACTACCAGATACATCCCAGCACTACCAGTACACTCAGCACTACCAGTACACCCAGCACTACCAGTACACCCAGCACTACCAGTACACCCAGCTGCCAGTACACCCAGCACCAGTACACCCAGCACCAGTACACCCAGCACTACCAGAACACCCAGCTACCAGTACACCCAGCACTACCAGTACACGCAGCACTACCAGTACACCCAGCACTACCAGTACACCCAGCACTACCAGTACACCCAGCACTACCAGTACACCCAGCTGCCAGTACACCAGCACCAGTACACCCAGCACCAGTACACCCAGCACTACCAGAACACCCAGCTACCAGTACACCCAGCACTACCAGTACACCCAGCACTACATACACCCAGCACCAGTACACCCAGCACTACCAGTACAACCCAGCACTACCAGTACACCCAGCACTACCAGTACACCCAGCACTACCAGTACACCCAGCACTACCAATACACCCAGCACTACCAGTACACCCAGCACTACCAGTACACCCAGCACTACCAGTACACCCAGCACCAGTACACCCAGCACTACCAGTACACCCAGCCTACCAATACACCAGCACCAGTACACCCAGCACTAACCAGTACACCCAGCACTACCAGTACACCCAGCACTACCAGTACACGCAGCACTACCAGTACACCCAGCACTACCAGTACACCCAGCACTACCAGTACACCCAGCACCAGTACACCCAGCACTACCAGTACACCCAGCACTACCAATACACCCAGCACCAGTACACCCAGCACTACCAGTACACCCAGCACTACCAGTACACCCAGCACTACCAGTACACCCAGCACTACCAGTACACCCAGCACTACCAGTACACCCAGCTACCAGTACACCCAGCACTACCAGTACACCCAGCACTACCAGTACACCCAGCTACCAGTACACCCAGCACTACCAGTCCACCCAGCACTACCAGTACACCCAGCTACCAGTACACCCAGCTACCAGTACACCCAGCACTACCAGTACACCCAGCACTACCAGTACACCCAGCACCAGTACACCCAGCACTACCAGTACACCCAGCACTACCAGTACACCCAGCACTACCAGTACACCCAGCTACCAGTACACTCAGCACTACTGTGTTATGACGTACACCAGGAACGGTGAATATAAATAATTAATGATAGCTGCCACCAGATGAAATAAGTAAATTATACAAATTTAAAAAGTTACAAGACATATAATAAATAATTCAAGACAAATAATAAATAATTGCAATACAAATGTGATGAATTATAAACAAACTAAAATAATAAATATAATAACACCAGCCCCAGTACTCAATACAAAAGTATATTTCTGTAATGTACATTTAAGTGCAAATTATCGTACACAGTTTAACCGTGTAAATAGCAAGTATATTTTGCTGTACAGTATCAAAATTATCATAGACACTTTTAACGTCCGTAAATAGCTAGAGTGACTATTATAAGCCTATATGAATGCAAAATAATTTATGCTATTTCTGGAATGTATAACATCCCTTTACGTAGAACAGTCCGGTAATTTATCATGAAAATCATCCATCTTTACCTAGAATCATCCCGGTACATTAATCATTGTAATAATCATCCACCTGTACCTAGAATCATCCCGGTACATTAATCATTGTAATAATCATCCACCTGTACCTAGAATCATCCCGGTACATTAATCATTGTAATAATCATCCACCTGTACCTAGAATCATCTCGGTACATCAATCATTGTAATAATCATCCATCTTTACATAGAATCATCCCGGTACATTAATCATTGTAATAATCACACTTGTAGGTTCTGCTGATAACTTATAGAAGACTCGTAACACATTATAACTCCCGCCCAGCCTACCTTACTTATCTAATGATAATAATAATATTTCAGTGTGATACAATGTATGTACAAAGATGAACGACATTTAAGCGTGCATGAAGAAATCCTCTTAATATGTGGAGCATTTCGGGCAGACTTAAGATTAATAAGACAATGACAATTCCTGCTACTTCAGTAATATATCTACCTTCCCTTCGCCTGATATTTACCTGACCTTCACACATCTCCAAAGCCTGAACTTATACCGTTATTTCATATTAAGAAGAGGTGTTCAAACCTGCAGCAAAGACCAGCATGTACTACCCTCCTGCTGTCTCAAGTCACACTGTCTCTACCGTCAACAACTGACCAGCACTTGTACCCCCCACACACACTACCTAGCACAAAAAAAAATTAAACAGCACTAAAGCAGATAATTACTAGCTCTCTAACCATTCATATAATAACAAGAATATTTTTAGCATCTTTAATATATATTTTTGTAAAAAAAAAATATATATTTTTATTCCAAAAGTTGATGCCCACATTACATATACATGTACTTAAATACTTCAGTAACCTTGGCTTATTACAATCTAAATATTGGTTAATGCTACACAATGAGCGTCAGAGAACCCGGATAATATATGATTCTTTCTTCCAAAAAACAGATACCATCTCAAAAATAAAGACAACAATGTTAGTCTTCCTCCAGACAAAACTTACACACACCTCTCATTTTAAAACCCAAAATTCTTATTAAAAAACTACTCTACAGTCATCAGTATAGTGTAACAACCTTCTCTGATCTCCCTAGCAGAACCTAGCCAAAAATAATATGATTTTATTACTCCTACCTAGGGACATTTTCATGATTATAAAATGTAAACAAAGAGAGGCAGGGAAACATGGCAGCCTAGCTAATGTACAGCAGATGTTCTCAAGACAAGTTCCAACTACTGTAGACAGCCTGTAATGTCTGCACAGACAGCCCATGCTGTCTGCCAGCTTAGTTCATATTTCGCGGCAATAAGGTGCTGCCCTCTGTAGCCAGGCCTCTCGGTGGGCACGCCAGCCTGCCTGCCCTTGCCTCTGTCTCACTCACACAGCGGCCTAGCAGGAAGACACAAGGCCTACTCCTAGCTCTCTCTCATGGGATAGCCCTGCCCGGGCCATGGGTACAACACACAAGCCTGTGTACCCACCACGACTTAA